TGGTGCCGTCGAGGCAAAGAGGAAATCCGTTTGTGTACAAACAGCTGCAGCTTCTAATCATAAATGACCTTTTAAGACGAATGTGCTTTTAATTTAAACATCAGAGGAGGAAGAGTAGAATGTGCGTCGTTTTGAGCTTTTTTCTCCTCCTAGTCATATCCTCTTATTGCTTATTAAAAGCCGTTGTTGATATCAAACACAACTGGCCTGTTGTAAAGTGACTAAGACAGGGGCGCCCCACTGAGCGGGCTGCACGGCACCGTTTTTCGTCTCTCATCCTCCGTGGCCGGTCCCACTCCACCCGGGTGGATCAGGCTCACTTAGCTAAACATTTATCCCCCACCCCATCCGTTTCTCTTGTAAATTTGTGGTTGTGTGCAATCCTTTAATGAGCTCCATCTTTGACCCGGGTTGTAGGTTTCCAGGGATGTCATGTCTTGTAAGTCAAGGAAAAGACTTTAACGTCCACACGACTTAACATTAAAGCGGCGCAGTTGAGAAGACGCGAGGTCAGAGCCGGGGAGGTAATGATACCCCCGTAAATGAGGAATTGTAAAATGAAGAAGATAGGCAGTATGAGCCCAAACGTAAAGAACTACTGTACTTCAGACTAGACTTCGGCTTTATCCAGGGCTACATAAATACCGTGCCTCACAGAGGTATTAATAACTCTCCAAGGTTTTTAATTTGTCATGTTACCAGATTTAAAACTTGAAAGTGTTTTGTGGGAATTTCAGGTTAATTGTGAAGAGGACAGAAAAGTTTACGTGGATTTCAGTGTCTTTTTATTTTACAAACCACTTTATGTGACATCTCTGGGTCACAAGCTACACCTATTGTGTCGTAGCTTAATGATACAAACAGATGTGTGCAACAAATAACGTTTAGAAGTATCCCAAAACAACTTTATAGCTTCTGATACAGTACAGATATTGCAGCTTTGAGTATTGACCAGTACTGAGATTGACCTGATATGATGTCAGCGGCAATCAAGCATAATTTCATAACTTATTTTTTAGCGTGGAACATTAGAAAAGGCTTGATCAAGTCATATTACAGAGAACAATAGAACAACTGACCCATTTTTTAAACTCTCATTGTGGAATACCACCTCCCGGATAAAAAATATTGACTAAATATTGACGCAGAGTGAAGACATCCGCTGCTTATATTGAGATTTTAGATGCAGGCCGATACGATACGAGACTTTTTTTTTTTCAGACCAACAACTCAGGACAGCCCTCATTTTAAATATAATAAAGTAAATCATGTAATAACTTCCAGTGATGTATTCAAGTTTTTCTAGGCAATGACAGGACATTTTACCAATAATGTAACTAATGTGATATGTTATTGGCTGGTAAACATTGACGCATCAGTCACACAATCTCTGTTCTTTTCCTGAATTATCACACATTGAGTTGTCAATCTGTTAAATTCACCTAACAGAAATGAATCACTGAAATGAACTGCATAGTCCGTGTGCTAGATGAGTAAATACGACGAGTACAACATCCACTGCAACATTAATTAATCAACAAACTAAAACAATGACAAGAAAAGCTTATATTTGTAAATGTACTGAAATGATTTTAAGGGGGAGGTGTTATGTATTTTCCTATAGTACAATATGTAAGACATCAGTCACGCCCACTTCAGAACGTCACTCTGCTGACTTGAAACCATTAATTTAATGCATTAATGGCTTTATTAAATTTAAAATGACAAATTGGTTACAGCATCGGCAATGAATTCTTTTTTGGATATTAAATGCATTCCCATAACTTCTTGGAATGCATTTCTACCAGTTTTGCAAAACCATCAAAAGAGCCTCAACACTTTTACTGCAAATCAGCAGTTAGAATTTGAAGACTTGATGCAGATTTAAAATTATATCCAAATTGTGACTTTGACTAGGCCATTCTAACGTATATCGCAGAGTTGGCAGGCAATCGTCTTCTCCAATCTCAAGTCTTTTGCAACAGGATTCAGCTCTGAACCACGAAGCTCGTTACCGAAGGTAAACGGAACGGAATCCAGCGAAAAGCTGGTCAGCGATTGTTATGACGCCAATAAAGATTTCCACACCATTTCAGAAAGGCTGAGAAATTATTTTCTACATGCTGTTATTTGTAAAACAAAATGAAACAAATTGCTTCTTGGATTTTCTTGAAATTGCACTCAAACGTCTGTCTTCTTCTGTTGAGTGTGCACATAAATCAGCCTCTTAACTGTTTTTTTTCTCTTTTTTGCCTTTACTGTAAATTTGTTCCACGTGTTTTCAGTTAAAAAAAAAAAAAAAAAAAAGGTCAGACTTGTGCGTCTTCAGGTTCAGGTCATGAGAACGAGAAAGGGAGAAGAAGAAGAAGAAGAAGAGAGAAAGAAAAGCAAGACAGAGACGGACCTTTGGCTCGCGGCTGTAATCGTGGTGCTCGCCACTGCATTGTTAGAGGCTTTGGCAGACCTGTGATTAAATCTGGGAAGGTTTGGAAGCCTCTCGCCACGGCGCGCTCTCCAAGACAGAACGATGTCCAGTAAAGGGAAGAAAAGAAAAGACTCTCACACGTTTTGTGCTGCTTCACCGTGAGACTTTTTGAACACAAAATTCTCCCCACCCCCCCAAAAAAAAACAACTTCCATGAACTATGACAAATATTTGTGTCACAACTCCAGCGGTTCTGTTCTTAAAGCTGTTTGTTTTGCGACTGTGCTGCAGGGTTGTTTCTTCTTCAGGAAACCCTGCTTCAATTAAGAGTGATGGAACCCATGTGTCCCTTATCGTGGCAGGCTGGATGGGAGGAATCTTGTTCTGTCGGCCTTTTGTAATAATTGGGTTTTAAAGGAGCTGTTTCTGTGGGGTTAGTTACTTTCTGTGGCCGTCGGGTGCGGATCAGCTGACGCCCGCCGCGTCTGTCGACTCCTTCCGGGGCGATCATCCTAAGTGGGTAGGCATGTAGCCGTATAGCTGCGGGGAAGACAGCGATCCGGGGAACCAGACTCCCCTCTCTTTCATTTCAAGTCGCCCCCTCCCCCGCAGCACACAGACAGACAGACACTCTGACTGACATCTGACCAAACCTGATTCAATTATATGCTTCATCTTTGAAGTTTTACGCTCTGGCTTTTCCTTGCTCTAAACTTGTTCTGTGTTTTCCCTTCTTCTTACTTTCTGCATGCTGACGCAGAGTGATGACATCTGCTGCTTATATTGAGATTTTAGATGCAGATCGATACGATACGATACGATACAATACGATACGTTATCTTCTTTATCAAGACAATAACACGAAAGATGGGAAAACAAGCCCAGCTGAACAATTCAGCTCTCAGCCGTTTTTTGAAGCGACTGACTGCTTAGCGAGCCTTACGGGCGTCTCACCGCGGAACAGTGTTTACTCTTACGCTCCGTTTGCAGAGCGGCACAAACATTGTATTTCTCAGCCCCGCATGTGAACAAAGGGCTCCGTAATAACAGCTTGTGGCACTCCAAAGCAACAAGAGAGAGAGAAAGAGGGGAGGGGGGTGAAGGGACAAAGAAAGTTTGAAAAGGTCATCCTGGAAATTGTAGACGATAGGTTTTGCCATGTGACAGAGACGGAGGAGCGCGCAGAATGGAAAACTTGATTCCCTGCAATCATCTCCTGTCATCTTTTGCACCACTTTAGCCTTCACTCCAATCAACCCATTTTTGCTTTGAGTACCTTTTTGTTCTTTTGATTTCACTTATTGCCTCATATGTTTACGTGTGTTTACGTTCGAGCATAAACAACTTTCCAGCGACTTTGAAAAAAAAAACGGAACTTAATCAGTGCGTTGTACAATCTTCAAACACACACTCTTAACTTTTTTTTTTTCCCCAGAGCAAATCCAACTAACCATGGAGATTTCCTAAAGCGCTCTCATAATAGGTCTGGATGTAAAATAAAAACTAAATAAGAAGTTTTTACTCTGGCGGGAGCCGCCGGAGGCTCCGGATAGCGCACCGCGTGACTGCAGGCCGGCAGCTTTAATTGGCCCACAATTCCCTGGTGCTTTATCAATATAGGCCGATAATCAGACAGTTTTCTAACCCACAGCCAGTTCAAAGCACAGGTTACTGGTATTTATATCATAGTCCATCAATTTCTCTTGATTTAAGTTTGTTTGGTTCATAAAACATCACGTTTCAGCTCAACAGGAATACAGGCTGGCGGAAACATATTCATAACGCCTAAACATTTTGTGACATTGCTATTACAAAGTTAAGTACCTTTGATTGGGATTTTAGGTGACCTACTCAAAACAGCTCATAAAGCGAGATGAGCACACAATTTTGATAATAAAAAATGTAAAAGTGTGCGTTTCTTTCAGCTACCTCTAATCTGTTCCCCCTAAATAAAAAATTGCCATCTTTGGAAGTCAGCCAATTTGAATTTAGATAACATTTTTATCACTGTTGCACTGAGAAGTAGCTCCTGCAATGGGCTCAGCAGGTGAGCAGCTCCACCAGGGGTTTGCTAATTGCTGCTGGCTAGTCTGAAGGAGCCGAGTGGGGGGATAATAGGCAGGCCTGCGCTGTGCGGCAGAAGCTCAGGAGCCTGGAAGCTGCAGATCTGAGGAGATAAAGAAATTGTTGTCAGAACATCATAAAATGTTATTAATTTTAATATGTCTGAGTTTTTCGTTCCTTTGTGTAATATTTTTTTCATGAATCTGTTGTCAGAGTTGCAAAATCTTCAGTGACACTAAGCCTCAGAAAACTCCTGAGCGTAAATAATCTATAGACACAGATTTCCACATAGAGGACAGCTGAACAGAAACCAGAAAGAACTCTGCTTTGAATGAGCCCCAAATGTAACTTTTTTTGATACGATTACAATAATGATTTCCACATTTTCAGAGCGCTTTGAGGAGATTAACTCTGGAAGATTCTCTGGAGATTCTCTGAGGAATTGACTCCATCCTTCTTACGGTTTAGTTGTGATTTCTCAGTAATGGACTCAACGTCTGTTCTGTTCCAGGTTGACACGGCGAGACGTCACGGGAGACGACAAAGGCTTCAAAAGTCGAACACCTCAAGAAGAATGGCGAGAAGACGCTCCATCATGTCGGATGTAACTACTAAGTAACTACTGAAGTTCCTTTGTCTTGTCCACCTAAAACAGATGTCTTCACAGACAGTCTTTAGGCCAGCATATTACTTTTAATATCTGGTTTAATGATACATTTCTTAGCCATTGTCTTCTGCTTGAGTTTCATCTCCCCTCAGTGATTTGTCTCGGCTTTCTACCATTGAGCTTGATTTCTCCTGGGCCAGTCAGCAAACGGAAGGAGAAATGGTCAACGATGATATAAATATCCGCGCTGTTCTTGAGTTATAGTCTTGCATTTGAGCAATGGGGGAAATGAATGAAGTCATTCCGTCCATATTGTCAGTCCGGTAACCTTGAAGTCATAGCTAAATTCTGGCACACTACATACGTCAACGCCAAACGTTAGCAGATCCAACAACTTCAACAGACTCCATGCATCGTCAGCTTCCATTTCTAATTTATTGGTCTGTACGTACGCTGAATAAAACATCACATACGCCTCGTTTGTCTGAGGTCAAATTATTCCAAGCTTCTCTTAAGATCAGTTTGAATCACCAATTGTATTTCTGCTTGCTAAATGTCACAAGAAAGAGACCATTTACTCAATAGAGATTTATTTATTAGCGGCTTCGAAACCAGGAGTGTGCATAGAGTGATTCCCATCCCTTTAAACAATGAGAGAAAGCCCAGATGATGATGATGATGATGTCATGACTTGAGACTTCTGACAAGTTTGGTTTGAGACGACTGTAAAGTCAAAAGAAAATAAGTCGAGATATCAGGAAGAGAATTGTGCAGCTGCTCAAATCCGGTTCATCCGTGGGAACAATTTCCAGATGCTTGAAGGTGCTGCCTGTTCAAACAGTGATGCACATGTTGGGATGATGGGAATTTCCAACCACCATGACGTTGAGGAGCGGATCAGGTTCTGTGTCGAAATGTGCGAATCAATCCTCGAAAAACGGCAAAGACGTTGTCAAAGCTGGACAAAGTTGATAAGACAGTGCGATTACCCACAATCAGTAATCCAAAAGAAACACAAAAAGTCAGACTGCAGTTTGCAAATGTTCACTGGGACAAAGATGCTCATATTTGGAGTCGCGTCTCGGGGTCTGATGAAGTTAAAGTGGAGCCGTTTGACCTTAAGCATGGGAGTGGCAGCATCATGTTGTGGGGCTGTTTTGCTGCAGGAGAACTGGTGCGTCTCATAAAATAAATGCCATCATGAGGAAAGAACATGATGTGAAAATATTGAAACAACTTCTAAAGACAACAACCAGGAAGTTTAGTCCAAATGGACAGTATTAAATAAATCTCTTATGTTCTGTCATTATTGTGACAATTAGTAAATAGAAAAAATTCAGGTAACTGACTTAAAGCAAGAGAAATATGGTCCGATTCAACGTCAAAAGGTAAGGAGTCTGTTTCGGTCGGTCTGTGTGAACGAACGGCTTCAACGGCAGTCCAACTCAGACTGAAAGTTTTCTCCTCAGGGAGGCGAAGGCGTAAGGTTGTCCTGACTCCTCCCTTTGTTATTCAGAAGTGAGTTCAAGGTGAAATAGCTGTTGTCTTGTTGGACGTTTCTGTGGCATGAATGCAAAACAACAAGGCGTCCCAGAAGGTAGAGCAGTGAACAAACCTCAGTGAATTCAAACTATGCAACCAAATTCTTAGGCTGATGGAGTCAAGAGTTACAATGTGTCAAAGGCGCCACTTCTTCTTCTATGATTCTGTGTCTCTTTGTCGATCAATTATTTCTTCTGCCTCGCAATTAGCACAGCAGAAAAATGATTACTTTGTGAAGTTTATGAAACAGAATATTATTTGAAGTCCGTTTTATGGCATGATGGAAGACTTTTTTGATAGTCTGGTTCGTATGACGGCGTGTTGGGCCCACGCTGAGAAAAATACAACAAACAAAATTACGAGAAACGTTAAAGGTTTGCAAGAATAAAGTCATAGAATAAACTCAAAGCGTTATAACTTTGTTCTCATAAAAACACGACTTTATCCTTATAATTTTACTACTTTATTCTTATAATCTTACATTTAAAGTTTGTAGTTTTTTCTTAGAATAGCCACAAGAAACCAACTTGGGATTAGAGTTTGCATCTGAATAAGTGAAAAATCAGAGTTCTAAGCATCTACTGGTGCAAATAAATGTTGATTTTCTGTAATAAATACAAGCATGTAGATTATGCATGCATTTTCTTGTTGTTTTTTTTTTCTTTTAACTTAAGGTTATTATGCTGTGAAAAACTCAGTTAGATCAAATGGCTGAAACATTCCCTGGAGTAAAGAATATCTCAGATTTGTGTTTTTTTTTTCCCTCACCGGTTGCCATTTCCTCTCAGTCTTTACCTTTTTTTTTTTTTTTTTTTAGTACGCCTTTGAAGTTCACTGAAAACAGAGTTGAGATAAGGTGAGACTGATGTGGAGAAGCCCATAAAATCGGCTCCAGTGTTCTTGTGGTTTGCAGGGCAGAAATCGATAGTGGGCACGCTTGATGCAAGCTGCCGCTGCTACGTCATTGTTTCTACAAAAAAATAAAAAAATAAAACGAATCTCACTTTACCGCCACAGATACACTTTGCTGTCAAAATCTCCGCTGGTTTGCACATGGACAGATTCAGCAAAACTGTCCCTTCCTGTTTGGCGGAGGCCTGGAAAGCGACGGGCGAAGCGACGTCTGCGTCAGTGGAAGACGGCGAGTCGAGACGACAAAGGAACCCGAGTGAAAGGTCAGGCTTTCCCCGTCGAGGCCGGGGTTTGTGAGACGTGAGCCCTTTCATAGCTGCAGAAATAATGCCGTGAAGCGTCTGAGCGAGTGTGACAGGTCGTGATCAAAACCAGCTGCCAATTAACTAAATGACTCGAGCTATCACGTTCAATTAGAGGGAGTCTGTGAACTGCCGGCGCAGCCCTTCGCCTGCTCGGTAAACAAAAACACGGGCCGGGAGCGGTCTCTTCAGGAGGCTTGTCGCTGTGTCTGTGATGGTTATCTGGCGGGCCCCGCCTGCGTCGTACTGGGCCCGGCCGGCCCTGACAAGTCCCACGGATAGACGGGGGTATGAAAGGGGTCGCCTCAACCTCTGGAATCCATCGTCAGCTTTCTGTCTCGAGCAGCTGACAAATAGTTTCAAACAGCATTCGGGGGGCTTTAGAGAGGTATGCCCTGGTGTGTGTGTGTAGGTGTGTGTGTGTGTGTGTGTGAAGAAAGAAAAGTGAGGAGGGAAGAGATGTTAAGGAGAAAGGGGGAGAGAGGTGAAAAATTAGATGAAGAATGGGAGATTCAAATGAGATAAACGAAAAGAATCAGCGTTTCTGTCATTGGGCTCTCCTACTGTGGTTCCCGGAGGAGGGGCTATCTGGCAGGAGTTTGCCCCATGGTCAGCGTCTTTAACCCCCAGATGATAACGCTTAGCCCCTCCATAAAGAATAGGCCCCTTTAACTGATCCATTAGCGTCCAGTCGCTGAGACCGGACCCGCTGGTGTCTACTGAAACTTACCAGGAAGCCTTGAAGGAAAGCAGCATGGCAGACATGCAGAGAGATCAAAGACGACGTCCCCCTCCTCTTCCCCGTCCTCCTCCATCCCCCCTGCTCACCGTTCCTCTCCTCATTCAGCTTTCTGCTCTCCGTCTGACTAAATCTGCAACCAGACCAACACGGAAACACTTTGGGCAGAAATCATCAGGACATATAAATAAATGTTGGTGTTTTGTTGCCCTCGTTTTCTCGAATGGTCAAGATCGGATCTACAAATCCACGTTTCAGTTTCAGATGCATCGGTTGCCATCGAGCTCCATGTGCAGCAATAATCCGTCGCCATTTCATGGATTATTAATGCGATGACAAACTATGCTGGATGATAAATTGTCCCGGTAAATATCACAATAAACACTAATATTCTTGTTGTCTTTTGACAACCAATCAACTTTAATCTTGTAAAGCACATGTGTCAAGCTCGAGGCTCGTGGGCCAAATCTGGACCACCAGATTCTAGACTAAACACTAAGTGCGCTTAAATATTATGTTATCAATCAAATCAATGCAGTCTCTATATGTTTACTGCCAAAAACATATCAATCAGTGTCTCCAGTTTCTTATGAATTATCATGGAAATTCAAAATCAACATCAACAAATCACAGTTTTTTCCACTAATACATAATTGGGAGTTTATTCCCAATTATGTACTGGGATTACATAATTGTGATTGTTCTCAAAAATTATCAAAAACGTTGTGACTTGTACTAATGAGTTGCCTGAGTCTTAATTAATGTCAGTCCATGATCTATATAAAAAGTCACATTTACCGTCATAAATGAGCATAAATATTGCAAATATTTCTAAATTAGTACCACAAACACATTTAATTTTGTTATTTAAAAAGAAAAAAAAATCGCAAAATGTATCAAAATCCTGGAGGAACTGAAAAGATGTTTAACAATATTATTTAATTTTGAGAATTTATTGATATTTAAACGGTTTGTGAAACGGTTTTATCAATACATTCTGGCCCTTTAAGAGCTTTTTTTTAAATCAACTCTTGATTTAAAAAAAATATTAATAAATAAATCTGACATATTCTCTCATTATTGTGGCGTTTAGCAAATAGAAATAATCTTGGTCATTTTTTAACAGACCCAAAACAAGAGAGAAGTTTAATCTGATTATCAGTGAATTGAAGAAAAAAAAAAGTGTTTTTTTATTCAGTGCAGGAAAAATCTCTAACAGAAATTATTTCCCCCTCTTTTTCCTGTGTCCACTGCCTTCGTTTCCACTCGTCTTCTTTCTCTTCCACACATTTCCACTGGGCTCTCTCTCCCCGTCCTCCTCCACCAGCGACGCGCTCCTGTCTTCCTCCCCGGGTGTTTCCAATTTAAAGCTGCTACGAAGCAGTTCACATTGTAACGCCATCAATTAGTCAGTGACTCCAGCACATTTATTTAATGGGGCCAAAAGAGAGCTTTGCTGATTTACAGGCTGTAAGGTAGATGTGAGGGAGGGATGTTCTGACATGCCTGACATGCGTGTGTGTTTTTTTTTTCTTTGGTTCTGTGGGTGTGTGTGGGAAGCGAACCGATGCTCTGTGCACCTTAAGGCTCGGGTCTTGTGGTGTAAAGTCTCTGTGGCAATGCGCTGAGATGAAAAGGTTTGCAGAGGAAGAGAAAAAATGCAATGGGAGACGAGAATGTTTGAGATTTTCTGGACTTTTTTCGTAAGTGTTTGGTTTCAACCACAGTTTTTTTTTCTTTTTCTACATGCTAAAGGTTTCTATGTGCCATAGAAAAGCTTTGAAGGTCTCAGTGCAGCACGTAAGCGTTCAAATCGAAACGAGATCAACCTCCTGGTGTGGTGAAGTGATTCAGAATAGACTGTCGTTTTAACCAATTAATGGAAAAGATTGTTCTCTGCTGCTTTTTGTTTTGAGGAAAAACCTAAAAAGACTCCAAAATAGTGAATAGTTTGGGATCCGTCCGATACCAAGGATCGGC